CGTAGCAGGAGGCCTCATTTCAACCCAAACTCTACATCGCCGACGACTATTCCGCAGGTTAGCGCGGTCGATGCAAATAATAAAAAACACACACAAACACAAGACAGCGAACAGACAGCGGACAGAACAGAGGGTACACGTGCTGCTGCAGACCCGAAGAACTCTACGCAGAGGCGCACACCATGCCTTGTGCGGAAGGTGAACTTTGCCTGCAACAAGAAGAGAGAACGCCGCAAGCCCCTAATGGCCACGTCTGCAAGGGAGAGTGTGGCGGGCGGCTTCACGGCAATTGCGGTAGCGTGTTTGGCGACGACGAAACGAAGCGCATCTGCAGCACGTGCGTCGCCAGGACTGGCAAGCGCAAAGCGACACCAGCTGAGGGTGCTGGGGTGGGATCATCTAAGCGCCCGAAGGACACGAACGCGGGGAGTCAGTAGGGTTCTCGTGCGCGTCTTGACAACAAGAAGCTTGAGATGCTCAAGCTGCTGGATGCGAAGATACCGTCAATCAAGTCCTACCCTCCGCGGTGCACCGCCGTACACCAGCCCATGGATTTGGGGATCATCGCCAAGAAGAAGACAAAGGTCAACTACAGGAAGGAGCTGCTCGATGTGAAGACGTCAACCATGTTGGTGGCTGACACACTTCGCGCCCAGGCCAAAGCCCGCAAGATGAAGGCCGGGACAATGGGGCTGGCGCAAGGGCACCAACCCCACGTGCGAGACGCCGCCGAACTTCTCCAGAAAGCATGGGCCAGTGTCACCACCGAGGACATCGCCAGGTGAGGTTTGAACATGTGCTATTGCTGTTTAACATGTTCAGCTCGCGCAAGTGGACATGGCTTTGGTGGTGCGTTATGTGGGTATGGTTGTACGGATAGGTTTTATTTTTTTTCGACTGAGTATTCCAGCTCCGGGGACATCCCCGTTGTTTCGATGCTACAAAAGCGTCCTCTCTCGCATCCTTATGAGTTATTGTTTGTCACCGGGTTCGTCTAAGATCGCTTGTACACCCCAAAACGGATGCATCGCATTTTCTGCGCTACCTGGGACCAGGTGCTTTGTCAAAGCCAAGACGCTTCCGGAGGCTGAGCTCACCAAGCAACACGGAAAGACCCGGTTCGGCGTCGCCGACCCTGACTTGGCGGCTCTCACCGAGACTGTCAACACGTTGAGCACGAGCGTGCACGACGCGCAGCAGCACGGATTCCGCATCGTAGACGACGAGATCAGCGAACTGTTTGCAGAACTCGACATCGAACCCGGAGAGCCGATCGCGGAGGAAGCGGTGTCGGCGATTCAGGGGTGGGCTACCATCGAGGACGACGGTGAGGTGGTAGAGGCTCTTCGACTGGACGCAGTGGACGAAATGACGGCACTGCTGGCTGGAACGCACGTGTCTACCGGCGGCGAGGAGAAGGACGAAGGGGAGGAGGACGAAGAGGAGGAGGGCGGTGGCGATGAGAACACGGGGCGCAAGCGCCGTGCTCCACCGGCTTATGATGAGCTGTCATCTCACTTCGGCGCCCTGGAAGCGGCAGCAGAGGAGAGTGGCAACGGAGACGCGTCGTTCTACTGAACGAAAGCGAAGATGGCGATGATCGCAGCGCATTCCGCTTAGCGAGTGCGCCAGGCAGACATGAGAGAATTTGCCGCGACGCAGTGAAGGCGGGGGTACAGTAGTACATACATGGTTCTTCGGTTTTCTTGAAGTACGCGTCCTGTCGTGCTTGTCTTGGTTTGTTTTTGTTTTCTTGCAACATCGAAGCGGGTGCGCCAGGCAGACATGAGAGAGTTTGTCGCGACGTAGTGAGGGCGGGGTACAGTAGTACAGTGCAGTATATGGTTGTTTGTTTCTTTGCAGTGCGCCTCCTCCTGTCGTGTTTCTTGTTCTGTTTTGTCTTTTTCTATCTTGCAACATCGAAGGAGGACAACGAGGACTGAGATTCAGCTCCGTCCACTATTAATGCGCTATTATTAATACATATTTCGTGAGGTTTCGTACTCTGTTGGCCCCGCAAAGCGTAAGCGCCACGCCCTGAAATCAAACACCTCCTCAATAGTACCGGTCCGGCACTATTGAGGGATATTCGAAACCCCAATAGTGCCAGACCGGCACCATTGAGGCACTATTCTGAATAGTGCCGGTGCCCGGTATAGTGCCGGTAAAATCTCAGGACACACCCCGGCACTATAGCGGGCCCAGTACTGCGGTCTACATACAGCAGAGGGAGACGTGTGTACTTCTGCTGTAGACGGAACAGTTATCTCCACCCATAGGCCATGAGGGCTGCCTACGACAAGACGGTGGGCACATACAGGATCAAAGAAGGGTTGACATGTGGTAGCGGTGTGCCCGCTAGGGCAGGTTAGGCTTGTAGACCTCGAAAAGATCAGTCGTCAAGCAGCCTAACTCTCGTGAGGTACATGCGAATACTGCGGTAGCGGTGCACAATAATGCGGTCTAACTGTCCAACAATGGCCAATCAGCTTCGAGGAACAGGTGAGCGAGTAGATCCCGGCTATATTGTAACTTCAATCATCAATCCCCCACCATCAAGAAAGGATGCGACGGCGGCAGTGAATGCTGTACATCATCAATATACAATTGAGAATTTTCATTGGGCCTCGGCGCGCAGTAGCACTTGCTTTCGCCCCCACAATCGAGAGCTGAAAGGGGGAACGATAGTTTCATTTTGTTTTTCTAAATATCCATGTATGAATGAATTTTGCGGAAGGTCTGTTTCCACGGGCAGGTTTAGTACAGTACAGTATTTTTATTCCAGTATTTAAC